ATGAAAATTCCTTGTCAGGTCAATTGGTAACAACTCTCCTTAGAACAGGACTCTCAGAGAAATAACCCTAATCATAACACAGACTAGAAACATAATTTAAGTAAAACTCTGGAGCATTTGTCTGCTGACTTTGCTTGAAAACAGCTCAGCCCAAAGAGAGCCTTTGGTAATGCCACAGGTTTCTCCAAGTCCTTATTATTTGTAAAATATACTCTTATACGTCTGCATGTTTATTAATCTGTATATATATTTTAAATATCTAAGAATTTACTGCTAATAATATAGAATTAATATCTAAATATATATGGTGACATATTTATCATTAGTATCTACTTTGACAAATAACAGCTAACAAGAAAATACAATTCTAATTATGAAATATTTATTTCTGGTTTTACATCAAGTATATATTGAAATTTAAATATTCTGTATTTTAAGACAGTAGCCAGATGTCTAGGATTGCTCACATCTCTATAGAAGGCCATAAAATATAATAAGAGAGAAAATGAGAAAATATTTGGCACATTTAATATATGGATTTGCTAAAGTTATATTTTAATTGATGCTATCATACTAGTCAGGAAGCAGTTATTATTGATTATCTGAAAATGACTTAGGAAGTTTCTATTAATATCAGAGTTAAAATGCATTTCTGAAACAAATTGTTTAGCTTCTTTTGTGAACATGGTGAATATTTTATATTTTGTTATAGAAAACAGCATGCACATTTTCAACGAGAGTGTCCTTCCCCTAACACCTCAAATAACATATTCAATTTAAAATGTAAGCATGACATTCAGGCTTCATTTGCTGTAGGTGTCAATCTAAAAAAATATAAATTGATGCAGACAGAAAATTCTAATCTGATGCCCTAGGGCCAGATCCAATAAAAGACTTAGGCATCCAAGTTAGGTGTTAAAGAAAATAACTTTTATGTGTTTGTCCCCTTAAATGGGATGTGGTCTGAGGCAAGGTGGGCCTTATGTTCCTATAGATTGCATGGRGTAAGTACGTAGGTAGGCGCTTCAAACTGGGGTCTAATGAACTTAACAAATAGAACTATAGTCTGCCTAAGGTAAATATGAAATCGTGTATAGCTGTTTGGATCCAGTCAGTGGAGAAACTCTGAAGACAGGTTTAATCTGGTGACAGGTTTAGCTTCCCTCATGAAGTTATAAAGGTGAAGGCAAAGTGGTAAATATATTTCACTTTTTTACAAAAAGCACAGTGATTAGAGATGCTCTCTATCTACAGGAGTGAGACTTCACACCTCCAACACTGCAAGATTTAGAGCAGCTATTGACTATTTTCCCTTTGGCTGAAACATTTCAGAGCCAATGAGCAAGAATCACAGAATGGTTAAGGTTGGAAGGGACCTCCAGAGATYATCCAGCCCAAACCCCCTGCTCCAGCCCAGGGACACCCAGAGCATGGGGCACAAGGCGGCATCCAGGTGGGTTTTGAAGACCTCCRCAGAAGGAGACTCCACAATCTCTCTGGGCAGTCTGTTCCAGGACTAAAAGAAATGGATTGCATTTCAGTAGTTTACTGCTTAGGTACTCTGCTAGATTTCAGTTCCTCTTTTTTTTTTTTTTTTTTT